ACTATAGCGAAGAACAAGACTCTTTCTACTTTTATACCGGCGTAAACTATAGAAAATTACAAGTATATTTTACTAAGGCAGGCTATGCTTATGTAAACACTAGAGATACAGATGGAAAACACGTTCAAATACTTCTTAACAAATTCAAGAAGCTATATGGCATACCATTTTAAAACGTTTTTAAAACAGTATATTTTTACATATATTAAATGCTTCAGGTTGAAAAACAAAGAACAAAAGTAGCAGATACAAAACCGTTAGACTATATCTTTACAAATGCCGGTAGAAATATTTCAGATGAAGAAATTTCATCCCGTTCATACAGGTTTGACTATCCAGTTCGTTGGCTTCAAAGTCCTTCAGATGCAAAGGCAATAGGATTTAGAAGAGTTTTGTTTTCAAATAGAACTAACGCTTTTATGTTCGCAGTATATTTTCATGGGCAGTATGAAGGTTCTGATGGTCTAATAGACAAATTTGACGAAATGAGAATCTTTACAATTCGTTCAGACGAAAGTCTTGAGAAAACTCTAAATGACTTTCAAACTCAAATAAACAAATACTACTGGGAATTTCAAGAAAAATACGACTCTTTACTAAATGGAACATACTATCTAAAACTAGAATACAACAAGATGAATTCCACCGTTTCATTTCAAAGGATTGAAATTAACCCTCCAAGAAGTACAGAGTTTTTATTTTGGGAAGTAGACAAACGTTCTTGGGCACAATTTCTTCGGTTACTAAACCAGAACGAACCATTGCCACCTGACGGTCCGTTTAAATTTATACGTCCACCAGCAGATTTGACAGTTTATAGAAACGTGTTTGACCCTCAAAATGTCATGTGTCATGCAAGTTTCAGTTCAAGCAACAACAGTTTTCTATGTATCGGTAAGGACTTTTATGACCTTACCTCTAAATTCTACGAACCACCTAGTAACAGTTTCTCTGACTTTCAAGTTTGGTTCACAACAAACGGTGTGCAGCATATAATACCATTGTACTATGACTTTTATCTCGAATTGTCTTTCATATACAACTACGGAGAAGTGCTGAAAAAGTATTGAATGTGGCTCGATGTTGTCCATTGCACTGCTTCAGAACAATATTTGCACTGCTTCAGAACAATATTTGCACTGCTTCAGAACAATATTTGCACTGCTTCAGAACAATATTTGCACTGCTTCAGAACAATATTTGCACTGCTTCAGAACAATATTTGTACTTTTTCAGAACAATACTTGTACTGTTTCAGAACAATACTTGTACTGTTTCAGAACAATACTTGTACTGTTTCAGAGCAATACTTGTACTTTTTCAGAACAAATTTCCCGTAAAAGCTCTCAATTTGTGAGAAAAATTTTCTGTTTCAGAACAAGACTTGTACTTTTTCAGAACAAGACTTGTACTTTTTCAGAACAATATTTGCACTGTTTCAGAACAATATTTGCACTGTTTCAAGACAATATTTGTACTGTTTCAAGACAATATTTGCACTGTTTCAAGACAATATTTGTACTGTTTCAAGACAATGTCCGACGGTTAAGCCACAAACGAATGTCCGACGGTTAAGCCAAAAAATATTTTTTATTTTTATTGTAAGAACAGTATGACAGTCGAAGCAAAAACGTTCACGAACAAATCTAATGGCGAAACATTCACAAAAGGCACTTACAACGGTATTGAAGTCTTACGTAGAGACAAGGATGGTTATATAAATGCAACAAATATGTGTCAGCAGTTTAGGAAAGACTTTAGAAGGTTGTTGGAAAATAAGTCCTGGGAAGAGTATTATACGGCATTTTGTGAAGAATATACCAACCCGCGGAAAACAGCGGGTTGCTTTTTATACAAAATTCATGCAGGAATTCCGGATGAAATCAAACAGGTTAGAGGAACGTATGTAGACCCAAGACTTCTAAACTATATAGCAATGTGGGCTTCTCCAAAATATTGCATAGCAGTTGGAAAAATTATGGACTCCATAGACAAGAAAGTTCATGAGAAGTTAGATGAAGAAGAACTTGAAGATACAGTAGAAAATGCAAAACATTTGTTCGAACAAGAAGTTAGAAAAATGTGCGAAAAACAATTAGAACATGAACGTGAGATATGTTATGGTTATAGAGACTCTCCATACGAACTAGACCAATGGGAACAAGAAGATTTAAAGAGAGAATTTAGAGAATATGAACTCGCTAAGATAGCATTTGAAGCTGCAGAAAAGAAGTTAAAAGTTTGGGGTCGTTTTGTAAAAAAATATTGTGAGTAAATGAACCATTTATTTTTATTGAATTCAGCAAAAATAATGTTTAGGTGAAGAGGTGAGATGTCACCTCTTTTCTCACCTCTTTTCTCACCCGTTGAATTTTCATGAATTTCCTTAAGATAGAAAAAATAAAGTTAGTTTTTTTAAAAAAATATTTTTTATTTTTATTGTAAGAACATGTTAGCAACAACAGCACCAAACTCGTTAGTCATGAACCCAACTTCAATGTTAGTAGAGATGAAAAGCTTCATTCCTTCTTCATATACTTTCGAAACAGAAATCCAGAAGATAAAGCAAGAACTTTTAACATGTAATTTAGACTGTTGTGCGAAAGATGAAGAAAATGAAGAATATCTTTATGAAATGCAGGACATTATTGACCATTTGCCTAAACTACCTGAAATCCAACAACAAAAGCTTACTATTCCAGAATTCGATGAAATAGAAGTCAAAGCAACTGACTCAGTAGAAATAAAGAAGTTCATACGAAAGGTAAACTATGAGTTTCTAGGATTTCATTGCAACCATAAAGTTATGGACAAAGATTGCGATATGGTATATAAGAACATCTCTGACATATATAAATCTGGGGAGTTTAAGACCTACGACAACTTTGTTTCGTTAGTTGCTGAATGTGTATGGCAGATAAGAGATAAAGATAGAAGAGGCAAAGTATGGAACGAACAAATAAGACCCGCTATGTTTGAGATGAAGAGAGCAATTGACGCCTTAGTTGTTTTAGCAGGTAAGGTTTCAGAATATAACGCAAAAATGAACCCGCAATGTTCTAAATGTAAAGCAGCAATTAGGAAATATAACTACTCCGTCAAAGAGATAGAACGTATGCGAAACGACTATGCAGATTTAAAGAAAGAAGCAGAAAAACCAGCAGAAGATAAAATGGACATGTTAGAATTTCTGAACAAAAACTATCCAACAGCAGAAGATTTCCTTCTATCTGATGTCAAGAAGAAGTATAAAGAAACTTTCGGTATCGTTAAAACATTTGACATACTAAAAGAAGAAATAGAAGCTACGAAATTGTTTAGGATTTCAAATATACATCGTACAATTCATGTAAAACGCTTGTGAAAAAAGAGGTGAGAAAAGAGGTGAGAAAACGGGTGAAATCTCACCTCTTCACCTAAAATATATTTTTGTCTGATTTACGCTCATTGACGATGAAATCATGACAAAACATGTACGATGAAATCTATTTCCTGTGTTGTTGTCAAAATGTCATGTTGTCACCATTTTCAAAAAGATGTTAGTTGACCGAGGGACCGAGGGACCTGGTCGCCTAAAATATATTTTTGCTGAAAAAATGACCAAATTTCATGAATTTCCTCATATGTTTGCTACCCTCGGAAAACCGAGGGTAGAGATTCCGTACGAAAATCGTAAAAAAACTCTATGAAAATCGTGAAAAAATGCGACCCGCGGAAAACCGAGGGACGCCTAAAACTCATGAAAATCGTAAAAAAACTCTATGAAAACAGTGAAAAAATGCGACCCCGACTTTTTCCGGGTCGCCTAAAACTCATGAAAATCGTAAAAAAACTCTATGAAATCATATCTTTTATACAAGATAGAAAAAATAAAATAAAGCTAGTTTTATTTTTTTTTATTTTTTTATTTTGTATGTAAGAACAGGAAATGACAAACACTGAGTTTGAAACAGTTAAAAAGATAGACAATGAGACCAAGGTGGTTAGAATAGGTGATTTAAACGTAAGATACTCAAAGAAATACAACAAATATTCTTTGTCAGACATTTTAACACTATCTGGAAAGAGAGCAAAGGACTGGGTTAGAAATGCTTCAACTCAGAAAATTTTGACAAGAAATCCTGAGCTTTTGATATCGGTAAGATTCTATGGAACTACAGCATATCTCATCGACAAAAGTCTTATACCAGTAGTTTTGTTATGGTTAGACCCAGTTGTTGGATATAATTTCATAACATATGGTTCATTCGATACGGAACGTTGCAGTGAAGGCTTACTTTACATCGTTCAGAAACCGAAGGACTTCAATACAAAGAGATATAAGATAGGAAGAACATATAATATAACTCAAAGATATGACAGTATAGTCAATAGAGTTAAGGTTGCGTTTGTTAACGATATGAGAGCTGCTGAAACAGAACTACTTGAAAAGTTTGAGAAAATGTATGGTGCTCCCATAAAAGGTAAAGAAACGTTTGAAGTAGATGAGATAGATAAAGCTATAAAATTATTTGACGAAGTTGCTGAAAAATACATGTAAAGCGTTTATTTTTGGTCTTTTATACAAGATAGAAAATAGCGTTAGTTTTTATAAAATATTTTTTTTTATTTTGTATGTAAAGACAGAAATGACAACAACAGAGAACACAACAACTGCTATCGTTCATGAAGCCATAAGTGAAGAATACGAGTGGGTTCAGTATAACAAACAGTTACGTCTCATTCGTTCGGTCAAAGATGACATGTACCAAATGCAAAGTATTTTGAATGCTCTTCGTTCTACAAAGCAAGCACATCATTGGTTTGAAAACCAACAGACAAAAGAACTTTTAGAAGAATTTCCTCATATGTTTGCGACCCGCGGAATTCCGCGGGTCGAGATTCCGTACGAAAATCGTCAAAATTTGCCAAATGGTTTGAGAGGTTGGTATGTACATAGACTTCTCGTAAATGCTGTTGCAATGTGGGCTTCACCTCGCTATGCTTGTTATATTTTCATGATGTTAGATGAAATTCATAGACAAGAACGTGAAGAGCTAGAGAACAAGCTTGAAGCAAAAGACAAAAACATACAGAAAAGAATACCACGTTCGGTACCAAAAGGAAAGGAAAAGAACTATAAGTATATGATTTACACTGAAGAGATGGAAAATGAAGAAGACAGAGATATGGTTATGTTGCATTTAGTCAGAAGAAACAACAAAAGCTTTTACGACCTTGCTAAGATTTACAAATCTGACAGAAATTGGTTCTATCGCGAAAACTTACCGATTTCAATGACACCAAATGAAGATGTGAAACAAATAGTTCAAGATACGTTACCTCAAACACACTATGATATTAAAGGTTGTACAATACTTACATTCAAAGAAGATTTACCGCTACTGAAGGAAAAAATAACAGAGTATTTTGACAACTTCAAACAAGCAGAGTAGATGAACCATTTATTTTTCAAGCTTGACTTTTTACAATTTGAACTTTGTTTGCGTAGATATGAATTCTGAAAGAAGTATGAGGGTCTTGTATGACTTTGTACTTCTCCCATAGTTCATGTCTGTCAAACTTACCTGCCATGGACTCTTTCATAAGTTCCATGAAATCGTCTTCGGACAATCCGGGGAAAAGTACAATGTCAGTAAGTATTCTTTTAACATCCTTACTTAAACTCTTTGCTGTCTGTACACAAATGACAACTGAGATGTTAAAGTGTCTGAGCTTCTTAAGAATTCGACACATGTCTTGTTCTCTGTTCTTTAACAAAGGATGAGAGGCGAAATCATCTAAGATAAGAAGACATCTGTGAGGGTAAGTCTTCCAATCGTAAGATTGCAATTTCTTCGAAATGTATTCTATCTCTTTCTGTTTGTTTCTGAAGTGTTTCTTCTCTAATATTCTCTGCATTTCCTCATTTGGGTCTTTAAACTTAGAATTTATATACTCATTTATAGCATTGTACTTCAAAACTCTTCTTTGGTACTTCTTTATCCAATCTAACAACTCAGAGTCTTTTATACATACTAACTTAGACTTTTTTATAATATCTTTGAACGAATTGACGGTTTGGTCAAATTGACCAGAAGTACTACAAATAACAACTAACTCATAGAATGGGTTCTTCTCATCTAGTTCTTGTTGTTGTGCAGCCATTTTAAGATAAGTGAAAGTCTTACCCGACCCAGGTGGTGCAATTAGACCTGTTATACCATTCTGAGCAAATAAGAACTTGTCATGTATAGGCTTTATCTGAGCATTTTCTAACTTCCTCTTGTTCTTGTTTAAAACATTCTCAAATTTCTTGTCAATGTCAGCAAACTTTTTTTCTAACATATTTTTAGAAAAATTAAAAATTTTATCTTTTAGGAAATGTCTAGCGATTTCGCTATCTATATTCGAGACAAACTTTTCGACAGCAAAACATCTGTCGACCATAAAATCTTACATAGTGTAAACAAGAAAGGTGAATTTGTTCTAAAGTTCTGTTTCTGGGAATATGACAAGAACCATAAAACATTAAGCAGAGAAGTCTTAAAATTTGTCAATGACAGACTTGTTGACAGAGATGACGCCGATTGGAAAGCTGAAGTCCAACAAAAGTTCTTAGAATGCAAAGAAGACACATGCGCTGTTCTTGAAGATGAAATAGAAAACAGAATAGAAGAGCTATTAAAGGACAAAGACCTTTTACAAAAATATGGTTCTGAGAAGTTTGACATAACTCCACCAGAGAAGAAGAAGAAGAGAGAGAAGAAAGAAAAGAAAGTAGAAGAAGAGAAGAAAGAACCTGAACCAGAGAAAAAGAAATTTGACATGTAAAAATAAAATTTTATTTTTAGAACATTTCTGGGTCAATGTCAATGTTCTCTTCCTCTTTAGGAGCAAACACTGGTTTAGACTCTAAAATCTTTTTACCCAATTTACCTTGAACTTCAACTATCTTAGACTCATAATATTCATAGTCGTCTGCTTTCTTTGGTTCATAAGGTATAACAAGTTTGTATGCTTTGCCTTCTTCGAGTTTTGAGAACTTTCTGTCAAAATTTTCTTTGACTGTCAACATACCGTCAATGTCTAAGTCTTCAAATTTCGCACCATTTTTAGTCACAATAGCAAACTTAACTGGTTCGATGTTCCAAACTTTGTCAAATGTAGACTTTTCAAAATGGTAGAAGTAAACATTCAAATATGCGAATGGGTCTAGTTCTTCTTTGACTTCTGTCATGTACTTGTTTACTGAGATGAATTTTGCCATCTTTTCTATCGGATAAAAAAATATTTTTTTAAAATTTACTCAGAAAAATTTTTCTTTGTATATACGCCGTTCTGAACATCTAAAAGATTTTTGACATTTGCCAAGAATGTTCGTTTAGACGCTGTCATATAACCATACTCTTGGCAATATTGTTTATATTCATCGTACAATGACCTTTCATCCAAACACTCAAAGTTAGTCTCATCTATAAACAGTTCATAAACACTCTTGTTTGCTTCTAACAATGTTTGTCTTTCTTCGGTATGTGGAATTTGTCTTGGATTGAACTTAGAAATATCTAATGTCATAAAATATGAGAACAAGTGGTTGTAAAAGTCAGATGTCAAAGTTTCTGACAAAGCGTCAAAATATTCTGTATCTTGCATATGAGAATCTGACGTTCTGACAACTACATATCTTCTGTCAGAACTTTCTAACTTCATCGGAACGGCGTTGTTTGAAACCATAATGAAATTTGCAACATTTTCACAAACTCTTTGGTCTTTATATTTTCTTTCAACAACTCCAACTTTGTCTGTTATAAGACTCTTCAAAGCATCTGAGTTTAAAACCTTTGTTGTATCTATACTTTGAAGTTCGTTACATACTATAAGTTTCATATTCTCTATTGAGGAGTTAAATTTACCGCAGATGTTTTCTAAGTTTGTCATATTCGGGTTCGAATAGCCCTCTAACAGTTTGCACAAAATATCTGTAAAGAAAGTGTTCTTACCTGTTCCTTGTTTTCCAATTACAATGAGAGCAGTTTCATTTTTAGCACTTGGATGTTGTAAGATGTTTGCAAACCAACATAAGATATACTCATAGACTCTTTCGTTTCCATTGCATATAATTTCTTTGACATGGTCTAACCAAGCTTCTATAACATTTTCTTTCCATTCTACTTGTTCGTATTTATATCCAGTGAAGATAGAATAGAAGTTTGGAGATGGTGTATAAAACTTTATACCACGAACTGAAAAATCTTCTAACTTTGACAATAAGATATCCCAAGCATCTAACATCTTCATACCAACTTGTACAACTTTTATTTTCTTAAGTTTCTGTTTACATTCTTGTTCTGAAACTATGGTTGCTCTTGGTTTGTTAAAGACAACATCCCATTCTTTCATAACATAACATTCTGGGGCAGAGTCGACATAAATGACTAAACGTTTCAAATTCTCGACTGCTTTGTTATAGTCTCTAAATGGACACATATTTCTGAAGGCTTGGAAGTCATAAAAATCTGAAACATCTATTCTGTACATTTTATAAAAATAAAAAAAATATTTTTTTTATTCTTGAGCTATTTGTTGCATTTGTTGTTCTTGAGCTATTTGTTGTTGAAGTTGTTCTTGTAGTACAATACTTTCACCAGTTGCATCTTCCAATTCGAAACTTTCTGCCGTCATTGACAAATACATAGGACATAAAAGTTTTACAGGAACAAAGTTTGCGTCAACTAAGGTTAAGTTTATGTTTGCTAAAGTGTTTGAGTTTACTAAAGCTGAAAACTCTGCATTCGAATGAACAATAGGCAAACCAGCAGAGAAAGTGTTGTTTATACGCATGAGTATCTTTTGGTCATAGTAGTTTCTGTCAACATTCGAATAGCACTTTGAACCTAAGTTTGAAACAATATATAAAATAGGTGTACTTAAAGTCAATGGAACAGACATTCCTTGTATGACACCTTTTCCTGTTATAGGAAACTGTTGGTAGTAAAAACCAGAAATAAGTTTTGTATTATAGCTCATATTGTTTATAGTAAACTCAGTCGGACATCCAAACATAATGAAACCTGCTCTAGTTGCAGCACATGTTACATCCGTCCTTAAAGTATTAAATAAGTCAACAAAACCTGTTGGTGGTATATCTGAGTAAGTATCTTCAAAGAAGTATTTTTTACCATTCACAACAACAAAGTCTTCTGGTGTCAAAAGAGCAAAACAGGCTTTAGTCGTCATTGTGTTTAAGGTTAGTTTACAATATCGTCCTTGAGGACTTTGTAAGTTTGTTGTTATAGAATTATATGACTCAGGGTTTTTAGTCGTAATAGTATAAACCACTATGTCTTCTGCCATTTACTTAGCAACTAAATTTTAATGAAATGTTGTGGTCGTCAAATTTTTATAACGTCTGGGAAACTATATTTTAAGTTCAACGTTTCGCCTCCTTTCATAACGTATATCTTGTCATGACATTATATGAAACACCACAGCAACCAATGTCGGGTTCTATTTCTTTGATGTTTATATCGTCTGCCTCTGTCAAAAGTTTCAATAGTTCTTTCAAAACTTCATGAGGTGCAATGACATATGAGTTCACTTTTACAGGGTTGTGTTCGACCAAGTTTAACATTATACCTAAAGCTTGACAAATCTTCTCCTGAGTTTTAAGTTTGTCTTTAAGTTGTTGGTAGTCATTTCGAATATCTGCAACAGAACTTAACTCTCTGCTAACTTCAGGATATGTTGGTTGTTCTTTTACAGGAACAATTGTTATACCATCTTCGTCCTCGTATGGTTTCCCCACTTCAACATCTCTTTCTTTGACATTGACAACAACACTTTGAGTGTTTGTTTGAGTTGGTGAATTTAACTTCACATCTGCCACCGCCATTAAACCTTTTGAAACACTTACGCTTCTATTTTTCGGAAATGACATTTTACTTAGAATAAAAAGATGGACGTATTTGAGTATCTCTTCGAATTGAAGCAGAACAAAGTTTACACACACAAACAATACAAATACATTGACAGAGTAGTTCTTTACACAAACAATGGAAAATGTTATAGAATAGCAGTCTTTGCTGAACCAAAATATTTTCATAAAGCAAAGAAAGTTGGTATAACCGAAATGGTGAAAGTTCTTGAAGCAGACAAAAATATAACAACAAAACTTACAGATATTTCTAAAGGTAAGTTTATAATACAATTTTATGTCAAAACTGGCGTACTGTCAATATTTGACGGAGAGAAGTCAGTTCAAGAACAACTTACTGACCTGCTGCCAAAATCTGCTCGATGGAAGCTGTCGTTATGCCAATCTGAGGAGCCCCAGCAGGTTTCATCGAACGAATCTTCAAAAGAGCATCTTCCGTGAAAAGTGCTATTGGTTTTGTAAACTTCTTTGCTTTCAATTCATCTGGACCGTCTCTGTCACCAGTATATTGTATTTGTACAGTACCAACAGTTGAAATACCACCCATAAAGTCTTCTGAGTCAGCAAATGGAATGCCAAGCCAAAAGTTTGAACGGTCTCCATTTGTATATTGAGTTTTTTGACCTCCTGTATGAGTCCATACTTTCACATATGGCATAATAGAACTTTGCATTTCAGGGTTAATGGTTGTTGTGAAGTTGTTGTTAAAGTTCATAGCATCTAATGTCAAGTTGTATGACCTCATATCCTCAACTGTAGAATATTCTTCTCTTGGATAATATTTGCCATCTATGTTTATATGATATTTAATACCAGGGTTGTAGAAACAAGAATAGTCATTTATAGTTCGTCTGAACAGTACAAACATAGTATCTGCATGTTTCATTGCAGTTGTTAAGGCAATATCTGTTCTTGCACCTGGGTCAGCACTTTGGTTTCCAACTTCACCTGCAAAGTCTTTGACAGATATTTGGTGTATAGGGAACATAAGTGGAACTGCAATATATTTGGCAGCTAAAGCATTTGAAATATCTGGGTCCAACATATAGACTGCAAGTCTGCTTTCTATTCTCTTGCATTCAAATTTTTCGCATGTGAACTTAACTGGGTCCCAAGCAGTTCCAGCAGCATTGAAATAGTAGTTTACTTCAGTGTTGAAGTTTGAGAAACCAAAGTCTAAGTCAACTTTGTCTTTGCAAAAGTCACAGAACTTGGCTCCACCAGTTCCAGCTACAGCAATGCTGAATGGGTCTTGTGTTGGTGCAATGACTAAGTTATTTTTGCTTGGAGTAAGTTCGATAGAAATTTTTCCTGCCCAGTTTGGCAAGTATCTTAAAAACCTGAAGATGAGGAAAGATGACAAAGGAACTCTAAGTTTCAGTTTTACTTTAGTGACAGCATTTCCATCTGAACCAGAAAGGTTAACATAAACTCCTGGAACGTTAGGGTCAAGTCTTCTTATTTTCTCAATAGTTGCATACTGGTCTGTTTGTTCTCTAGCTTGTGGTTGTACTGAGTTTCTCAAAGCGAACCATTCATAGTTTGCCCATGTTACTGTTTGAACTAAGTCAGAGTTAGAATATATCTTATATCCCATGAAAACTTCTGGAGCATATTGGTATCCGACATAGAAAATTCCATTGCAACCTTTCTTGTCAGACAACTTGGCAGAAGGTTTTATTTCAATGTCTTGTTCCACGTATAAGAAAGAGTTGTCAATAGAAATTATATGAAACCTGTCGCAAGCAATATCTACTGTTGTTGAAGAACCTTCTCCAAACTCACCTACGTTTCCATAAGAAACAGCAGTTGTATATTCGTAAGTTCCAGGAACTATTTCTGACCTTCTAATGGCATTGTCGCATTCGTTATACCATTCGGAAACATTTCCATTCATAGCATCCAAAACTGTTGGCGTTATATTCTGAGCGGCGTACATTTCATATGAGTAAAAATATAGAATAGTTGGATTTATATGTCATAATAGAACCCACGTGGACCAAGCTTTACTTTCTTCCTGACTGAGTTTTTAACTCTTCTTTTTCCTTCATTGCCCTCTGCTTGAAGTTGTTGCATCTTTGCATTATGTTCATCTAGTATGTTGCAAATTTCCCATGTCCTTTTTGCCTTTTGGCACTGGTCGCCCATCTCAGGTAACCTATATCCTAGAAAGAGTTTGTCATAGTCTGTATTTGAGTCTTCGCGTATTGTTTGCATGACTCTTTCCTGAGTTTCCGGTTCAAGCGCTTCAAACAGTGCCTGTCCATATGGAATAAGCTCGTTTCCAAATATATGTTTTTGTAGCCATTCTGGTTTTCTTTCCATGTTACCAACTATATCTTTTGTGAATGGGAAAGCTTTTACCCAATCTTTCAGTCTTGCGTCGTTTATTTCTGTAGTTGGTTTTATTTTGTCAAGGAACATGTTTTTCAATACTAACATTTCATTTGGTACTGTCCATTTGAGTTTTCTTAAATATTCATCCCTTCTCGATTCATCGTCTGCAAAGTAAGTTTTTATGACATTTTGTAAACTTTCGTTTGCAAGGTCATGTACAATAGGTTCTCTTCCTTCTCTCCCTAACTTTCTTTCTAAACTCTTCACCAAATATACCATCTCTATGGTTCTGTGTAGTTCTTTGAGATAAATGTTCTAGAACGTCAGGTGTTATATTTCCATCAGCCATGTTCATTTCATACTGGTCCAAAATATCTGCATGTTTCATATCTTTCAATGGCATTAAAGCCGCGCTTAAAATACCAGCTATATCTGGTTCACCATTGACTTCCATTGCGTCTACAACTTCTTGGAATTGTGGTTGTAAGTTTATGAACCACCTATCCGGGTTAGCTTTATGACCCCATCTCATTGTAGTTCCATCGTCTGCAGAAACAAAAGTAGGTTTGTTTCCATCTTGGTTAGGTTCTGAATGAACTTTAAACAATGTTTCATTTCTATATGTTTTCTTGAAATTTAACCTTTTATTTTCACCGAGTTCATCCGAAGATTGAACGTTAAATGCTCGTAAGTAAAAAGGGTTGTTGTATTTGTGTACATTTTCTTTCAGTACTTCCATTCTATGCTGAATATTTTCATCTGGTGTTGGAGTCTTTTGTATGTCGGCAAACATTTTTCGATATTCTTCTACTATGTCAGCCGAATTTTTTTTAGACTCTTGGAAAGATTCCATATTCTCCGCATACTCTTGTTGAGGGTCAAGATTTTTCGGCTGTTCCAAATCTTCATCTAGTTCTGTGAAGTTAGTTTCCAAAGGAAGGACTTGTTCGTTTCCTTCAGGCTCTTCTAGCTGTTGTTGCTGAACTATTTCTTCCATGTCTGGTTGTATCTGAACTTCTTCCTGTGGAGTTTCTTGTACCTCATCTGCTGGCATTTCATATATTCCGAGACCGTTTTCAACAATTTCCCTATCTACGTCATCCGCATTCATAAGCTTTTGTTCTTTCGTTCCGTCTCTATTTTTTACGCGTTTCATGACGAAAGTTGAATTGTCATTTAGCTCTGACATCAAATATCTCGGAGTAAATTCATCCATGTCATTTGGATGATATGCTATTAAATCATATCCCTTAGCGAGCTTGTATTTTCCAGGTTTGAGATTATATCCGTTTTGGTGCTGAGCCATAAAGCTAAATAGGTCCGGGTCAGTATTTCCATCCTTGAACTTTCTAATAGCTTCTTTATATACTATCTGGGAAACCACACTCTTCTTTAAGCATTTTTAAGAATTCTTGGTTTCCTTGTTCTCTACTTCTTTTATGTCCTTGCTCTGTTTGTGGTTGTTGTTGTGCAGGGTTTTGAACTGTTGGTTGCTGTGCTGGTTGTTGTGTTGGTTGTTGTGCTGGTTGTGGAGGTGGTTGTTGTGCTGGTTGTTGTGCATGCCTGTGTCTGTGTCCATGTGACGATGTAAATGTTTTAGGTAGTCCTGGTGCAGGTGCTTCTCTTGGAGGGTTTGGTGGTATATAAGTTCCACCAGCTGGCACATATGTTCCATCTGCAGCATAGTGTCCTACCTGACTTTTCGTTTTTAAGAAAGCATTTACTAGGTCTGTTTTGGTCTGTTGTAACTCTTTTTCTTGACTTTCCACAACAGTTGCTCTAACGGCGTCATAGGCACTTTGAACTGCCTGTCTCGTTGCTGCATCTGTTATTTTCGTCATATTTTGTGCTACTTCTTTTAACTCTTTGTCGAAACCTTCAGACTTCAGTTTCTTTCCAGATGAGAAATCGTTCACTTGTTTCACCTTACTATGAAGAGCTTCGAAGGCGTTCTTAAAGTCAGCATTTGTTAAAGCTTCATTTGAACTGTCTTCATCCGCTTGTATTTTTGTCCTTATTGACCCTATGAGTTGGGCTGCTTTAGCGTTGGCTTGGGCATCTAACCAGTCATTGTTAGCTTTTATATACTCTGCGCTTTTCATTGCCTTTTGCATAGCCGCGTCGTTATTTTTACTTTCTTGTGCTAAGTTTTCATACTGTACGGTTTGGTTTTGCAACTGTAAAAGTTTTTCTGCCTTTACATTTGCTTCAACTTCCTTTTTATACTCATCGCTATCCATATATGTCTTCAGGGCTTTTTGTTTTATCTCTTCATCTTTCAGTATTTTATATTGAGTAGTATGGTTTTTCAAATTTATGACATCTTGTTCCATTTTTGCTACTTCTGCTGCTTTTTCTGACACTTTTTTCGCATATTCCTCTGTACTTAGTTCTTTCAGTTGTTCTTCTTTCTTCTTTTTCTCTACGTTTAACTCATTGAGTTTCTTTGTGTGTCTGTCATATTCTAGTTTCTTTTCGTTTTCACTTATTTGCTTCTGTATGTCTATGTTTGACTTTTTGACATCTGTTATTTGATTTTTGAGTGAACTCAAATTCATTTGACTTTGAGGGTTATATGCTGTTCCGTCTGCAGCTCCACCATAGCCTGCCATTTTCGCTAAAAGTGCCGCTCTTAAACCTCCACTCTGTGCACCAACAACTCGGTTTAAAAGCATAGGATTGCTTGACATTTGTTGCAACATAGTGGGGTCATTCAGCATTTGTTGTTGCAACTGTTGTTTGGTGTTAGTCTTACTATTGGATGTTTCAATGCTCTCTTCCTCTTACGTATATTCTTACGTAGCTTACGTGGCATTTTAAGTGAAGTTAAAAAGCGGTTTTTGACAGATGTTTATTGTGACTTCTTCGTAAAGACTTTGTTAAGACTTCTTCGTAAAGACTTTGTCAAGACTTCTTCGTAAAGACTTTGTTAAGACTTCTTCGTAAATGACCAAAAATATATTTTAGGTGAAGAGGTGAGATTTCACCTCTTTTTTCACCTCATTTCTCACCTCTTGAATTTTCATGAATTTCTTCGTAAAGACTTTGTTAAGACTTCTTCATCTAATTTCTCATGAACTTTCTTGTCTATGTTTTGTCAAGATTTCATCGTAAAGACTTTGTTGAGATTTCTTCGTAAATGACCCTAGTAGTATATTTTTGGTGTAAATTTCATGAAAATTCAAGAGGGTGAAAAATTAGGTGAAAAAACAGGTGAAATCTCACCTCTTCACCTAAAATATATTTTTGGTGTAAAATTCAAGAGGGTGAAAAATTAGGTGAAAAAACAGGTGAAATCTCACCTCTTCACCTAAAATATATTTTTGGTGTAAATTTCATGAAAATTCAAGAGGTGAGAAATGAGGTGAAAAAACAGGTGAAATCTCACCTCTTCACCTAAAATATATTTTTGTCTGATTTTACGAAGAAGTCTTGACAAAACATTTACGAAGAAGTCTTGACAAAACATTTACGAAGAAGTCTTGACAAAACATTTACGAAGAAGTCTTGACAAAACATTTACGAAGAAGAAGTCTTGACAAAACATTTACGAAGAAGTCTTGACAAAACATTTACGAAGAAGAAGTCTTGACAAAACATTTACGAAGAAGTCTTGACAAAACATTTACGAAGAAGAAGTCTTGACAAAACATTTACGAAGAAGTCTTGACAAAACATGAAAACATATATAATTTGTGAAAAGTGAAACATTATATAATGTTTTCGACCAAGAAGACTAACAATTTTCCGAATAAAAACTTCATTTATACTAAACATCTTCGGGGCTAGAAGGCACGAAGTGCCTGGAAGCCCCACTACCTTTTTTTTTTTTTTTTTTTTTTTTTTTTTTTCATTCTATACATTTGCTATCATCGGGAATATACTATACATGTAAAATAACTTGTCAAAATACATTTCTTTCAAAAAATTAAACGATTGTATTGGCTTCATAACCAAATAAATAATCCGACCAAATGTTAATTTCCAAAAAGAAAATTATTTTTCTTCAAATGGAAATAATGAAATTGCATTTTGTAGTTGGCGTTCATTGATGTTAGTTGATGATCAAAATAATAACCCGACCTAAATATAAGTATTAACGTATTCAGACATTTGATTTCCATCATTCAATATTATACTTTTATATTTATTTGTATTTTAATATTCCTTTATTCATTTACAAATCAATAGGTTCTACCATAAAGGTCGGATCCTCACTTCGACTAACATTTTTATAAATCATTTTTATATATTTTTTAATTATCAAAAAACAATGAAAAAACTCTTGAGCTTCAATTAAGCAAATCTTGGTTATATATTTCACAATGTGTAAGTAGCATTTTTTAACTGACTCAAATTTTGTTTATTATATTGAAGCTGTTTTCAACATGCCAATTGAAATCTCTACTAAAAGTACATATTAGCTTCATTTTCTTAATATCAAAAGTTTTAATTTAGCATTAAAGAATATTTCAAATTTGCTTTTATGGACCAATCAATTGAAGATACTTAGCATTGGTGCTTTTGAAAGGCAGAGTTTATACACCAGATCGTTTATTGCTCCAATTGTAAGAAACATCAAAATTTGTCACTTTTGCAACATCAAATTCGTGAATGAACTTTTTCAAATGGAAACAAATTCCGGGCTTGACTTGATCAAGAAGGACCAAGAGAATGCAGAAAAGGCTTTAGAAGAGAGCTATAGTGCCTGGACTAGCACATACAATAGTACAGATTGTTTTTTCTAACAAAACAGAATTCCATGAACATATCGAATGTTTCGAAGGAGATGTTACTAAAGCACTAACATGTATACTTTGATTTCTAACAATCAGCTCAAGGAACTGGCTATCAACAGCTTCAATATGCTGAAAATTGGCTGGATGGCGTTCTTGAAGTCATCTCAAGCAAACAAGAAGAAGTACATTGCTTCTTGAAGGAAGCTCAAGACAATCTTGATCTATGAAATGAAAATTTGATAATAATTTTTTTTCTTACTGAATAAAACCTTAATTTAACATTACCAATAAATATAATGACTATAAGTCCATCTAAATACTTACTTTATTTATCATTTTTTATGATTACTAAAGATGACATCAACAAAATAGCAAATGTCTTCTCAACGCTGCTTTTTAATGCAGAAAACAAGAAGATTGAAGAATATGCTATTGATGTACTACATACTTCTGAGAATAAACTTGGAGTAAAACAAATTCTGATTATCGACCATGCAAAAGCTGGAGAAAAGGCAGCTGTTTTTCGAAACCAAGTATTAAGTCTACGCTCTAAAGAGATTTCTTCGTTAAAAATTGAAAATACTATTGAAGATCCGAGATTATTAATCGAACTATTACAACAAGCAAGTAAAGACAAAACAATAGAGCGAACACTGTACAAAATATCCAAATGGGAAAAGTATCAGATGATTGCTTACAACAGAATTCATCCAATTTCAACATTTCCTGAAGGAGACAGTTCAAATAACAATATTTCTTTAAAACTACAAGAAAGATACATTACATCAGAAAAATTACATCTTTCTTCAATTTCTGATTATCTAAAACAAGCAAACTCAGAGTTAGGATTACAAATACGAACATTTGCAATAGAGATAGAGTCTCTTACTAATCCACAAACAGAAATACCAGATTTCATAGATAAAATGCGCAACAAATTGATATCTTTCCTTAAAAACGAAGCAAATACTCCAAAAATTAAACCGATTTTTAACTATACAACAATTGATGAATACAAGTTTAATAAGGAAACAAGCTCATCTATACTTCTAGAAGTCATCCAGGAGTCAATGCCTTTCTTTACAATTGAACATCTCGATTTATGCATTGAAAAGTACTTGTTTTCATTGATTCATAACATAATATTTGATAAAATCAATTTGAAAGAGGATGATGACATGATTGAACAAAAATATCAAGAATTTGACCAATTTTCTCCTTCAGAAATTGGAATTTCAATTTCATTGATGGCTTGCAACGATAAACTATTCAAAGATGTCATTGAAAAACTAAAAGAAATTGAGAACATGAAGAATCCAACATCAAAACTCATTCAAATCTATTTATCTGTTGAATTATTGTTAAATCAATTTGCAAAATCATCAAATTCAAGAGCAGGTGTTGATGACATCACTGATATATTATTATATTGTTTGATTCAGTCCAAAATTCCAAAGATTTGTACAGAATTAAGTTTTATTAACATGTTTTCAAGAAAAAGATTGATGCAAACAGCTTTTGGAGCTCATTTCATGTCATTCTATGCTGCAGTTGAAAGATTGAAGACATTTAAGAAAGAAGATTTAAGTCATCAAAAATTTATTTATATTCCAGTAGAAAATCCCTCAGAAGGTTCAATAATATTACCAGGATATATCAATTGTGTTTCTCCTTCATCTTTTTATGAGAAAAATTTTGAAGATAAAAATATTTCTGTGAAATCAAACGAAAATGATAAAATTTATGTCAAGAAGATAAAATTGGAGGATGCAGTACATTATATCTTCAAGAAATACAAACAAAACCACTTTAAAATCCAAAATTTAGAAAATGATAACACAATTTTACTTTTTACAGACAGTATTAATGATTTATTACCTTTCAGAGATGAAGATGGTTTCATACATGCTATAAAATTATCACAGCTATGCTTTCTTGATCAACTTTCTCCAAATGTTTCTCTTTTTGAACATTTTTCATTAATTCAGGACAAATTCAATATCAAAAATTTTAATACTGATGAAATAATTCCACTTTGCATTGAAAATGTCTCAAAAGAACTGAAAGATTTTGGATTTATCAAAGATTCTCATGAAAATTCAATTGACCATGAATTTATTTCCGGATTGAATCATTTTGTAAAAGAGTTCTTAGTTGAGAAAGACATGATTGGCTTAACTCCACTTCTTTGCAAAGCTATTCATGATATGTGGACGATGTGGACTGCAGCTTTTGATATCCCAACTATTACAGGTAGAAAACAAATATATTGGAGATATCCTGTAGTAATTCTTCAGTATTTAGCTGGAATTGAAATTACGGGTTATTTAGATACTGAAACACGAAAATTATTTAGAAGCTTGTGGGATAGTTATGAACTATCCCCAGAAGAGAAAATATGTTTACAGAAATTGCTATAATCTTGTTTTTATTCATGATATGTTACGTAAATAGTTTACTATTAAGAATTAAATAATTTTTATAATGTAAAAGTCATTACAAAGATATTATAATTACATGTACAGTCTTATTATTTCAAAATCTTTCCAATGATAACCTTCTGTAAAAAAATAAGTTTAGATTTTGAGTGTCCGTACTATAAAATGTCAACACTAATAGAAGGAAAGATATTTACATCGTTTAAATCATAAGATTCTGATCAATATTACAATTTTAATTCCAATAAGGAGATATTTCTGAGTTTGATTATGTTTTTTAAGCATTACGTAAGATGTAAAGTGCGGAATTATTTGTTCTGGTTTGTCATTTTGGTTAAAATTCAGAAATGTCAAAATCTGCTATACAAATTTCAATTGAAGTAACTTTTATAGAATAAGTCATATCCATAATTGTACGTATGGACCCATTTTAGAGGGTTCAACTAAATTTCACGTTAAATAATCAATTTGATTATTTGGCCTCAGAGATTGATTTCAAATGTAATCGCTCACATTCCATTAGTCTGTGTTTCATAATGGCATCATCTGTTTTGTTATTTCGGTCAGAAAACAAATCATAATCGAAATTTGGCCAGAAAAATAAGGAGGAGACAATTTCAACAAATAAACATCAGTCAATAACAACAATTTAAGAGTGAATTAAAAACAAATAAATAATAAAAACTAGAACTGTTGAATGAAATCTGCTTTGTAAGCGTTATCGATAAAGTATTGGTTAAACATCTTTCTTCGATTCAAGATAGCTTCATGCAAATCATCATGTTGAGGTATATTCAGTAAATTGAAGATCGAAAGGGGATCTTCTTTGGAATCAGGGTTTGTATTGTTGGAATTCAGAACATATTGGTACAAATAATCTTCTAAAACTACTTCGCATACTTGGGTACTTCTTTTTGTAACACCAATTGAACACAAGATATAACTAATTTGATATAATTTCGAAAGAGTTGTTTTCATTCGTTGAGTTCCTCGAGAAAATAAGGCTGCAATAATTCGTAAATCTAAGCACTGAGTTTGTAAAGCAAAATAAACGAGAATGAAATTAATTGTGAGATTTGGAACTCCTACGCATATTTCAATTGGGAATAGTTCGTCGATTGTCATTGTAGAATTTCCAATCTGACGAACGCGATATAAATCCGCAAATTTTTGGTAAATTTGGTTCTCACCCATCCAAATGATACAATCAAATTCTCCCTTTTCGCAGCATCCGGTTGAAATCAGAACATTTACGACATCGTAAAGTCTCCTACGCTTTATATTGAACCTTGTGGAAAGTTTTGTAATGGAATTTTGGACTCCTTTCTCTTTGTCGAGTGCTTTTCGGAGCTCCTGAATTGAGTCACTTAAAGTGCTGATCTTATTGGCTTTCATTCGCTGCTTGAAATGGATTTGTGCTGGGGCCGAGGATGTAGACATCCAACACACAAAATTTAAAAAATTGTGAAGAAGAAGAAACAATTTACCCCGATATAGATATGGTATTTAAATAATAATGAAAAAATTCACTATCAAAATGTATGATTTTAGATGATAAATATATGTTCTAGTAATAAACTAATCAAATCGATAAAAATACTAGTTTGAGAAATAGCAGTATTTTTTTGAAAGGACTTTATTGAATAAATTCAATGATCTTGAATTATTTTCTTGAAAATAAAAATCACATTTTTAATCGAAATATATTTTGTCCTCTCCATATTTTGGAGGAAAATAGAGATAATTTATAAAGAATTGAATTGTGTAGGTTATTTGGGAAATATTTTGTACTTAATTAAAAATGCTGAATGTTAAAACAGGATTGATAGATATTATTTTGCGGGGGTTTTCTCACAAAATTTGACAATTATTCAAAATTAATGACGAAAGGATAATTCTATTCTATAATATACATACAGTCAAATTAAATAGGTTTAATTGATCACACAATTTTATGATTTCAATTTTTAGAAAACTGTACGGTTAATTTGTGAACATGTAAATTCATGTCAAGAATATTTTTGCTCTATTGATAGTATAATACTAAATAATACAATATCAGATAAACAAAGATTTTAATTCAATCGATGTTTTCAAAATACCAATTTCAATTTGAAGGTACTTTCAAATTCAATATTACATATTACTTCCTAATTTGATGCATATATAGTTTCATGTTTTTCTTATTCAAATTTCAATTTATTTAATTTTTTTATATTTTTAACATCAATCTGTTTAAAGCCCTCATTATATATTGTTCGCTAATTATTTTTGACACAATGATTTTTTTTCAAGTCATACGACAAATCCTTCAAATTACCCACAATAATTGCTTTCTATTCATACTATTACCTCATGAATTTCGCGGATTCAATCTCTATTCTAGGGAAATTTTCTTGATTTTGAAAAGTATAAACCACGGTCATTAGCAAATCAATACCAATAGTTACTATACAATTTCCACAAATACTACCGTTCTTAAATTACAAAATATTAAGAACTTTTTTATTTTATTCGATTTTTCATCCTGCCCAAGCTTTGGATATCATCATTTTAAATACAAATGTAACAACCTCTATATTTACTCCCTATTACACTATTTCATTGGAAATATCAATAGAAATTATGATTATCTAATTTAGCACAACTATAGTCATGATTTAAACGCTATTAATACTTTTTCTGCTAAATTTGGCTATTCACATTTTGATATTACCAATATCATGAATAATTATAATTCTTTAAAATTGATATCTTAATTTTTTTATATTTAGCTCATTTCCATTTAATAAGCTTGCTATTTCATACTACTATCAAATGTACTTTTCTATTACACGCATATGAATATATTGTTTTCATGAATGTGATATGAATCATTTCGAAATATAAGTAGCAACTGACATCAAGTAAAAGAATAAATTAGACAGTTAAAAAAGGACACTTTAAATAAAAGAAAAAATTATTTATATCAAGCAAATAAAATAAAAAAAATTCAAATAAAATAATCTAAAAAAATAAATAAAACTAAATAAAGTTAAATATCATCATCAGATGGAATTCCCTCATTTGCACCAACACCTACCTTTCCAAGTAAGTCATCAAGGTCATCAACTAAGTTCTCATCCTCTTCTTCATCTGGAGGTGCAGTAAAAACAATACTATCGCCAACATTTATCGAATTCTCTCCAACTTTGTTATCATCAGGTGTTGAAACTTGTTCTACCGGAATTTCTTGGTCTAATTTTACATCTCTTTCCTTTGGAGTTGTTTCATCATTCTCGGGTACTTTTTCGGGTTCTATCGTTGAGGGAACTTCCTCTTTCTTTTCTTCAATTGGTTCTGGTGTTTCAATATTTTCTGTCACTTTTTCGGTTTCCATCGTCGAGGGAACTTCCTCCTTTTGAGGTATTTGTTCTTCTATTTTTTCTGTTGTTGGAGGAACTTCTTCTTTCTGTTCAACAACTGGTTCTGGTTTTGTTTCATTTTCTGTTGTTGATGGAACTTCTTCTTTTTGAGAATCAATTGGATCTTCATTTGGGGTTTCGATTACTGCTTCTTCTTTTGGTTTTTCATCATCAGCGTCTGAGAAACTCATTATTTGTTTGATTTTTTGGTTGAGTTCTTCTGTAAATGGTTGATCTTCTTCTTCTGGTTGTCCCCAGCCTTCGTTATCAACTTCTTGGTTCTTTTCTTGGTCATCATCCTTTAAATTCTTGAAATCTTCATCATCCTCGTCATTTTCATCGTTTTCTTGGAAATTATTATTTTCATTTTCGTTTTCTGGTGGATTTTCTTCATCTTCTTCCTCAATTACTTCTTCAACTTTCTTTTCGAGTCTTTTTATAAGGGATTCGTCTGAAATTGGAGGGGTTTTAATTGGAGAAAATCCTATTTCTGGTTCTGACTCTTCTTCTGCGACAGGAGACTTAAGTCCTGCATCTCTCTTCTGAGATAAGAGCTGTGCGAACTCGTCATCGTCCTCTTCTTCCTCTTCTTCTTCAAGATTTGCAGAAATTTCGGTATTTTGATGGAAAGAAAACATCTTTGTCTTCGGGAATGGACTTGCATGTCCTGACGATGGCTGTTGTTCGCTTAATGAGATGTTTCCGTGCATTAAAATATCATCATCGTCATCAACCTTGAAAGAATTCAATCCAATGAGATTGAGAGAGCTGAGATTGGCTGTCTTTGGAAGTTTGTCATTTTCGAACTCTGAATTGTTGACTTTTCTCATAATTTCGTCAACATCAATATCAGATTCGTCGCTTTCGAGTTTTGCACGGGCTAAAAGAACAGATATTGGCTGTGGCTCAAACTCATCGGCAACAGGAGGCACGAAAAGTGGTAAAAGGTCAGAATCAGAATCAGAATCGTGGAAACTCTTATTTGGAGAGTTTCGAATTCTTGGAGAAGGATTCTTAATAGCTGGAGAACCAATAGGATCTGTTGGAGTAGGTGGAGGAATTGGAGAATCAAAATCTGATTCATTAATATCATCTTTGAGGTTGTTTTTGCCTCCTGCGTCAACAACATCTTCAATCTGATGGAGTTCTTCATCAGAAAGTGACTCAGGAAGTTCTTCTTCGTTGATATCTTCTTCTTCAACGTTTTCTACAGCATATTGTGGCTGTTTTGGCTTTTCTTGCTTGATTTCTTCTTGTATTGGTTGCTTTGGTGGTTGATTTGGCTGTTTCTGAAAAGTTTCTTTTGGAATTTGTCTTTCTTCTGGTTTTTGTGCAGGACTTTGTTGTTTCTTTGATTGGGATGTTTGTCTTGATGCCTTTGGAGCTGGTTTCTGTGGTTTTGGTTTAATTTCTTCCTCTTCATTTTCATCTAAGTCAGATTTATCGTTCAAAACTCTTTGTGCGGCCTTCTTGAGCTTCTCATCTTGAGCGAGTTCAATAGCTCTTGACTTTGGCATTCTACTTCTTAATTGTGGCGATAAATTCTGAGAATAATTTTGATAATCTTCTTCAATTGGTTGAAAAACGTTTTGGGAAACTCCAATGCAGTAATCGAGATGATCTTTGATGACAGAAAGTCTGTTTTGTATATCTGCGGCAACTTCTGAAGCTTCTGATTCAGTTATGATGTCTTTTGGCTTAGATCTGCGGTGTGAAGAGTGGTGTCTTGACGAATGTTTCCTTTCTGAAGGAACTGATCGCTGTCTGACCACTTTTGGCTTTTCTTGTGGTAAATCTGGGTTTTGGTCGCTATCTAAGCCCAAATCAACGTATTTATTATGATTGTAACGTGTAGGAGGTGCGATCTGATCTGATCCGAAAACAGAATCTGTTTCTTCGTCCAATTGAGTATTTAATATTTTGGAAATTTTATTATTTAATCGTTTTTGATCAGGATTATTGAGATAGGAGTATTTATGTGGTTGTGGTGGTTCGAATTGTTTTGTAGAAACTCGAGAATTTTGTGGTTCTTCGTAATATTCTTCTTCTTCGTAAGAATAAGCTCTAGATTTTGAGTTTTGGCTACGAGATCTGTTAACAGAATTTTGTATTGGTTCGAATGTTCTGCTATCTAAGAGATATTGCGAAGAATCAAATTTTGTTGGGGTTCCCATCTGTGAGTATCTGTTTGGTGAGCCAAGCGGATATTTGGCTTGCGGCCAGGGACCCTTAGGAGGGAATTTTATCTGTGATCTTGGCTCAGAATGTGTCATTGTTGACCGTTGATCGACGGAATTCTGAATTTGACTTGTGTAAAGTGGAGAACCATTTGACAATCTCAGAGGAAAACCCATTTGCGCTGCTCTATTCGGTGAGCCAATGGGATATTGCGGTTGTGGCCATGGTTTCTTTGTTGAACGCGTCTGTGATGTTGAATGCGATGAATTACGTGTTGTATGTGATAAAGATGAAGCATTGTGATGGCTGGAATGGCTTTTATGAGAGTGCTTCATAATGTATAACTCAAAAAGTGACAATTGTAAATGTATAATTTTTTTGAATGGGTGTTAAAAAAATTTAGCGGGGAAAATTCTGCATAACCCGTGACTAAAATAAAACTGATAATTCAAATTGTCTATATTTGTTAGTTAATATTTGCTGAGAATTGGCCGATTTCGCAACTTCGTTATTCGGAATTTTGTCAGTTATCCTTTCATCTTCGAAAAACAAATACATATCTATCTGCTAATTTCAAAACTCAATTCTTTTTCAGTTAAAATTATTATTGCAAATTTGCTCAATTCGTTATTTCCTCGGTAATAGAACCAAAACCCATAGCTGACGATAAGCATACAAATGTCTATCATCTTTTAGCTATTAATTCTACTTTTCTTTTAGTAACTCTTCAATAAAAATCAAATTTTTCTAAAAATCTTTGAAAAATAATAGTAAAACTTTAGAAAATACAAACTATTTATGAATTATAAACATATCCGACCTTAGTTAGGACTTGATAGAGTGAATAAATGTCTTCATCAGGATTAACTCCGTAATTATCAATTGCTGTTCCTTTCTTCATATCGTCAGTGATCAAACTTTGCATTAATTTCAAAATATTATCACCCTGCCACGCTGTTTTGAGTACTTTGTAAACTGCAAGTTTCATTTTCATTTCTCTCTGTAATTGCTGGTTTTCTGGAGCATCAATCTTATGGCGATGCAATACCATGCATTTTCCAACTGCTGTTTCGCTTATTTCGACAATATTAATGGAAGATTTTTCATTAATTTGTTGGACTTTGAAAAGACAGGCCAAACCGCGAATTTGAGAGGTTACATACTTTGAGTACTGTGATTTCTGTTTGAAAGCGAATTCGTTTGTAGAAACAACGAGTTTGACAGATTTCGGAACAAATAACTTAACAAGAGAGCGAGAAGAGACATTAATAAGATTCCTTACGAATGTTTTATCCTTTCTAACAGGTTTAACAACAATTCCGCCTGAAACTCTGGCAATTGCAGTTAATCTTTTGAATCCTTTCTCAGCAATGAAATGAATAATGTTCTTATCACCTTGGCTGATATTACTACCAAGATCTAAGGCTTCATCTGATGTAATTATTGCAGATTCGCGACGAATGTAGAATAAAGCAATGTAGCAAGGTATAAAAGTGAATTTCGTAAGTAAATCGACAACATGAGTTAAATTAATGGCTTGTCCTGTCTCTTGATTTCTTGTTATGTTGAAAATTGTTGGCATTCCAGGGATAATTGTATCAATTAGAGTCTTTTTGTTAACAGCATATAATTTACTGGTCTTAAACTCGCTCATATCTTTGAAAGTAAATAGAGTTGCCACTCCTAAATCACTTTTATAAATTATTGTTGTGAGATTTGAAATCCCGATAATAGTAACTGTCTGTTCGTCTCCCATGATGCTTGATAATTGTATTAATTGCTTGATAATATAACTCATTTTGTATGAAGTATCAAAAATGAAAAAATAATGCTGTGCATCGTTAATTTCTCCTGATAATTTTACAATTTGATCAACATAATCCTCGTTTGGATAACAAATTGGGCATTTGCAGAGTTGTTCATCTCCTTTGATAGGAAATTCTTGACAACCGCAGATTTTGCATTTAGGAATACTCATGGAAACATCGTATTTGATTTCGCCTACTCCTTTTAACTGTAAAAGTCCGAATGAATCTTTAGGATCGTCGTATTTAGATAAAAGCGTCAACATTTTTGAATTTATATTGTTTATCTAATGACGAACTACACTATGCAACTAATACAAATTTCCCTTTGAGCCTGGTGATTTCGGATTTTATGGATAATATTTGATTCAAATCATATTGATGTCATCTCAAAACACATAGAATCTGATATATCTTGCGTATAAAGTTTAAAATCTCAATAGTTACTTTGGTTAAATGACATATATCACAAAATTTTAAATTTATTCATATTTTCCTGATTTTTACCACAACACTATGTCTAAACAAATCAATTGTAGTAGTTATAAGCTATTAAACGACTTCAATTAAGAGTAATTTATGAGATATCTGATTTTTGAAGTTGTAAATTGTTTTTCTAAGGTAAAAAAGATATTAGATTTAATTTTCATGGGTTTAACATAATATAATAAACAAAAATAATAAACAAAGAACAATAAAATTATTGATTTTGGGAATTTCTGATTTTGACAAGTCTTTCTCTAAGAATATCTGGAGTTATAGAATTGATATGAGTAACCAAAGATTCTAAAGTTGCTTGTGCGTACTCGAAAGAGTTAGATAAGCAAAATGCAGGTGAAAAACGAGCAACAAAGTCAGCAATACTCATAAATTCATATAAATCAGATGATAGATAGCATCCTAAGAACAAAACAAACAAATCATCAAAGCAAAGTAGTTCATTGATGTCATTAATCGAAGCAACCTTTTCTTTCATGCGTTGCATCAATGCTGCCTTATTAATACATAGCAATGTCTTATGAATTGCGTACAAATCATCAATGGGATTCGTACAAAACATGGATGACTCCAAAAACTGAGTCGCACTGCGGTAATAGTAGTCATTTCGGAATGCCTCACGTATGGGTTGTGTAGATATGTGGTCAGGAGATGACTTTTCCGGTAATAAATATAATTCGCAAGGAAGATTTGATAATTGAGCCATTTTGACGGCTTCATTCTCTTTCTTGACGAATAAAATGTCGGGATATAACTCGTACAATCGATCAAATATGACTCTGAAATATAATAAAAGTCCAACGCTTAATTCAGGCGTAGAAAATGATTCTTGGTCTGGAATTAAGGTAAGACCGAGTTCTAGAACACTTTTGAGGAAGTCCGGTGGCGGCATTGTCAAAATTGTTTTACATATTTCATCAATTTTCTGGCCGTAGTCGCTTATACCACTAAAACAGTATCTAGATAGTGGCAACTCCCAAGATTGAGGTGGTATGTACGATAGAGTCTTATCTAAATGGGAAACAGCTGATGAAAGGGCCTGGTGCATAAATCCAGGGAAATCCGTAAACCATTTTGGTGGGGAAAATAATTTGGTCTTTTCTTCGAGCTTAGAATAGTAGTTTTGAAGAGCTGTGATTCTAAAAGTTAATTTTTGTAATTTCATCGAAATCGAGTACATGAAAAAGGTCTCATCAATTTTTATAACAATATTTTCAGGTATTTTTTGATCAAGAAGAAGCTCTTTGAGTTTTTCACAATCTTCTATTTTTTCTATCAAGTTATTGAGAGTTTCATTGCTAGATTTCAGTGTAATACTTTGTATTTTTCGATGTAAGAATACTAATTTATGCATTTCTGTGTTCTGAGTCTGATCATTAAAACTAAGATGGCCCAATTTCATAAATGGAGCATCATGAACTTCAGAGATAGTTTTTATAGCTTGATTCTTCATCATTTCAAGATTTTTTTTACAATTCATGAGAGTTGTTAAATATCTTTCTTTATTTGCTTTGTAGCTTTGAATTTTCTTTGTATCTCCATCAGTTACATCGAATTTAACATTTGGAGATATCCTTTTGTTCCTCTCAATCCACGCAGAAATTGAGGGAATTTCAATTGGACAATTCATCAGCTCTGTCACTTTTATTCTGAAATTATATATCCAATCCAATTTCTGAATTTCATCGTTTTATGCAATTTCACACATCCAAACAAACAACAAGAAATCAATTTTGGCGAATTTCTTTTTTCATAGGGAATTTACTTTGAGATTTCAGATCCATTCTTTGACAACAAATTAATATACACATTTTTCTATTAGAGTTTTATGTTTTCGGTTTATAAAATATATATTTGTGATAGAAATCGTATCAGATGAAGTTTGCCTTAGTCCCACATAGGCGCGATTTCTATCATACATTTGGGTATTACCTTTTTAAATTCTTAGGTCCTTCAATTATATCATTTGGCGTTCTTGGTCTCGTAATTTCATTCTGGTATCATTATCTAATACCAATATCCAAAGTAGTAGGGGAAAATTTAATCATATTACTTGCAATATGCGATATAATATTGTTTTCATTGTATATTTACGCTTTAATTATTACAGTTTGTGGCGATAATGGTAGACTTCAAGATTTCTTACGAAAAAATATACGATACAAATTAATTAGCAAAGAAACACTAGATTCATTACCAATTTGCGAGAAATGCGGATTACCAAAACCACCAAGGTGCCATCATTGCAGTTTTTGCAATAAATGCCATTTGAGAATGGACCACCACTGTCCAACAATTGGAAAATGCGTTGCTTTACGAAATATTCAGCCTTTTATCGTAATGTTAAACTGGGGCATCATAGATTTAACATTTATGATATTACAATGCATGATACCGATTTACTATTCTGTTACAGAACGAGTTAGAATATTTTGTTTTACAGTTATTTTCGTCATGTTTTTTGGTTTAATTGTAAAGTTGAAAGCAGAGGTTATCGGACGCATTAAAGATAACACAACTGTTGTTGAAATGCTATCACGCACAAAAAACAATCCTTACGATCTCGGAGTTGAAGAAAATTTAAATCAAATATTTGGTACAGGAAAAATGCGTTTTCTTATACCACGCAAATCAAAACTTACTGGTTTCGAATGGATGCTACCAGAATATCGTAATGATACTGACTTATTAACAAATGAGAATTATAATTTTCAGAATGTATCTGAAAATATATAAAAACAGCATCTGTGCACATATTAGAAAGGTAGACCAGCAAAATTTTTACCAATAATTTTTGATTTTGGCTATGGATACTTACTATATAGGGGATGGATATTTGATGTGCGAAGTATCGCATGAAAGTTATCGGGCCGATTTTGAGATATTATTATTAAAAATTATATTCATCTGAGAGGCTATTCAAATGAAAATAAGTACCATAAGATTTTTTTAAAAAAATTGCGAAATAACGTATTTTTTGCTGGTCTACCTTTCATATTAGTAATGGTTCTTTATCAATTGAAAACAGATTCAAATTAATTTTAATTTCAAAGGTAAAGAAGCATTCGGCTGTTTGTTTTATATCTTAATTTTCTGTTTTATCTTCATAGAAGTTCCTAGAGTAAATTTGTATAAATATTTTGTTTATTTCTTTCTGAAATTTAAAGATTTTTTACCTTTAAGTCTGCAAGAAGCATGAATAGTCATTACTGAATTATATCATATGACAACTCATATCATACTGCATATATTTTCTATGAATTTCGATTTGACCAGTAGTTAACTATATAATTTTACAAAGAAAACGAGTAGGGGTAATTTTAGCTAAAAGTGACACACTTGTAAAAAGTGACACACTTGTGAAGGGTGTGATTACCGATCGGTAATTTCGACAGTTTAGAATTTAAAATTTTTTATGGAACTGTTGCGAGTTTCATAAAGAATTTAAGGAATATAAGCAAAGATTTGAATCAAAATCTTAGACCTAAGCCGCTCGATTCGCTCGCGGCTTCCGCGAATTACCGATCAGCAAAGATTTGAATCAAAATCTTCGAACTAAGCCGATCGCTTCGCTCGCGGCTTTCTTTATTATTTTAAATTTGCATATTTCCATCAAAAGTTCATAAGGTAAAAAATTTCGTTTATTTTTACTAAGAAAAAAAAGGTTTTTGATAATAAATTTATTTTATTTCGAAAAAGTAGCAATAATCGTAAAAGGGTATTGATAGGCTTGCTAAAGTAACTAATTTTAGCTGTCAAATACTTTTGTATTTTGAAGTAAATTAGTATAAATTTGATATTATTTTAACTCCCTTTGAAAACCTCAATTTTCCATACAGAGGGAACGGGAATAGCATCCAATATTCCCTGAGAATGGTTGCGCATTCTCAGTTCCCTCTATATTTCGAACGAAGCTCTCATCGGTCTTTTTTTTAATACTAAACGTTTTTTTTCCCTGTCACTTTTAGCTAAAATTTGGGTTTGCCGATCATTCACTTGAATCAAATTTGAATGAATAGAAAATCTTTTTAAATTTTTTATGGCTGATCAAACAGCTCCAACAACGACGGATCAAATAGAACCAACACTAAAATACCTTAATAATGAACCACCACCACTTACTGAATGGAAGCCTGCATTCGGATTACCTTGTTGTTGGAAAACTCTCGATCCAACAGTTTTCTTTTGTAATTTTCAATTTGTTCAATTGAAAATAGTCGACTTAGTCATTGTTTATAACATAATTGCTCAATTTATATGGATGAAATACGTTTATCCAAATTTATCAACACCGTATTCGAACATTATGATGGTGTATACATATTTCACAATGATATATGCCATTGGTAATATCACAGCAGCGAGATACATCAACCCTGGTTTTCTACCTTGGAATTGGTCTGTGACAAAGAAACGAACGTTTACAAAGAACGAGCTCAGATCAGGATTTGCGCTTAATGATGAGCAAGATGAATGGGCAAAATCTCATGAAAGTCCTAAAAGAGCTTGGTTTTCATCAAATATCGGATATTTCATACTCAGAGGCGACCATTACTGCTCTTGGGCAGGTTCATTCATCGGACTCTACAACCACAGATACTTTTTAATGGCAATTATCGGTTTTTCATTGTATATCGACGGTTGGCTTGTTTGCTTGTTTTATTTGTTATACCAACACAAGTTGCATATGTCTTGGCTATACGCAATACCACTTTTTGCTATTGGATTCTTTTTTGCATATTTAGCAAATATGAACGTTTTAAATCAGCTTTTTTTACTTCACAACAATACAACACTTATAGAACATTTGAAGAAGAAAGATTTCATCTATTACCACGATTCTTGTTTAGAAGGATTTGTAGAAATCTGTGGATCAAAGAAATACATGGCATTGTGGCTTTGTCCATGTCCTCTTCCACGAGAAGTTGACGGATTCGATTTCGAGGAAGGACCTTATAAACTGAAATCAGAAGATGATGACGCAGAAACAAAACCATTTCTATAATATGTTTGTTTGAATAAATATGATTTATTTCTTTATGATACTTAATCTCAGACTTATAAATAGTTGGCACCCTTGCAATTTTAGGACATTCAAAAAGTATTAATAATATTAGATTTGCAAAGCATACATTTTTGTAACTTAGTGATCCTTTAAGTGAAAACTACGAGAATAGTAACACCTTTCTTCAAAAAGTCCATAATCTCATCTTTTAGGATGGAAATGATTTAAAAATTTTTTGATGCTTAGATGCTTGGTTCAAGATAATTTGTAACACTCAATTCAATTTCCAAGAGACATCCGCATTTTTAATAACAAAGAACAGAAAAAGTTCATATGAATTGTATAGTGAAGTCTTTGTCAGGAAGAATTAACTCACCTTAATGGCAGCAAATATTAATTATCATTTTTGAGAGTATGTTATTTTCCAATATTGAATTCCAAAACTTTCAATAATGATTTTTTGGTTGAAAAATATACTCAAAACAAAAATTAATTCAAATTTCTGAGAACAGGGAGGAAGATTATTGAGAAAAAAAGTTTGCAAATTATAACCAAATGAATACTTTCTTACAGGGAAAAATGGCCTTTTACAGTGTTTGACAGAGTGTTTATGTACAGGAAAGTGCTCAATTTTCCACTCAAACCATGCATTTTACAAAACTTACATTATACGGAATTCTGATTTTAACCTGAAATATTGGGAATGAAAATCCTTAAATTTTTGATGATTAGGAAAAATATTTCTTATCGGGGATTGAATTTTAGATTTAGTTTATTTAGTGAAATATTCAGAAAATCCTTCTTCAAAAAATGAACTAGAAAGACATTTAAAAATAGTAATATGAATCTTAATGTGTTTGATCTTAGTTCGTTGGTTAATGATGAATGAGAAACAACATTCACATGAAATTGTTGTAGAAAAAATGTGTTCGAATTCGTCTGTTTTTGATAATTCTGTGTTTAATTTAGATGTAGATCCTTTGATATCTACAATACTGTGGATTAAATAATAGACTTTATTATTTGTATAAAACGTGTTTGTTGCTGTGTTGTTCTTAATGATACTATCGATTATAGATATATCATGAAAATATATATAAAATAATCGATTTGTTACTTTATTATTCAAAAAATTAGATTTTATATATGAATATGGTTGAGATCCACTAAATAAAATGCAATAATAAGATGTTGCTGAATTGTTTATGAATGATGTTTGTGAAATATTTCCTGGAAAATTTGTCAATTCAATGAAAATTCCACAATGTTGATAAGTTCTGCAATTAGAAACGTTTGCATTATTTATAATAACTTCACCATTACCATGATGAATTGGTGAATATCCATATCCTTGTGATTGACCTAAATCAGAATATGAAGAAAGATAATTGTAATTTTTGTATTTAATGGTACTATATTGGGAAAGTATATAGCAATGTTGTCCATATTGACTTGAAGAACAATTATATGAACAAATTTTGTTTTGAACAAAATCTAATTTGGCTCTTATGTAAATATTTCCGCCATATCCGCTATACCCATCTTTTGTTGAGGTACTTCCGATATGATTCGAATGAAATAATGATGATTCAAGAAGAATTTTGATTGAAGTTGTTGAACTTTGATAGAAGTCAATGAATCTGGATCCTTTTGATGATGTAATATCTGAAATGTAATACTTATAAGGATCGGAAAAATCAGTTCTGTTACGTTGATTGAAAGTGTTTTCATAGAACTCTTCCCAACTGAATACAAAATTCAAGTCTATTTATGTTGATTTCTTTTTGAATAAGATGATTCTTGGATATCGGAATTGTGTAATCAAATTGGTTCTCTTAGGATCTGAATCCTAAGTAATATTTATCCGATTTGAAAACATTGAATTGTCACTTTTTGTCAGATTTTTCACAAACAAAAATTTTTCATCCGGCCACTAATTAATCAACAATACAAGGCTATAATTAACATGCACTGAAATGATATGATCATCAATCGTTAGACAGTTTCTGTACAAACCAAAAGATTGATAAAAGTATTTTTTGATTAGAATTTACTCAAATGAATGCAATACATTATGAATCATTTGATAATTTATGAATAATTTTGTATTTCAATCCAAACATGCTTCAGAATAGAATATTATGAAAATAATTAAACAAATAAATCTAATTCACGAAGATTTTCTCATGTTAAATAGTAGAAACAAACATTTATTAACCAATATCTTAAAAATAATAAGAAATTATTTCTTATTTTCAATATTATTGGTTAAAGACATGATTTCTTGTTTCCAAACACCAATATTTTCTAGATTTTGGTTCAATATAGTTCTAGCTTCAATACTGGCTGCTTCATCATTTTGTTCAATTTCATCTGTTGGTAAAGATGAAATTTCCATTGCAGTTTGAAGTGCTTCTGCTTTTGCATGCAATGTTTCATGCAAAAACACAGAGTAGTTGAGGAAAAGTCCAAGATAAGTTGGTGAATAACGTGGATATTCCTTTTTTGTTATTTCTATGGCTTCATTATATAATGTTTGTGCGGATATTACTGATTTTTCTCTTTCTTCACCTTCAACAGCTTCGCAAAGATATCTGTAGTAATCAGCTTTTAATCTGATATAAAATAAGCGAGATTTCTCATCTGAACATGATGGAAGTAGCTTTTCATCGACTAAAGATATCAAATCTGTGCAGTAATTCTTTAGTTCATCAGCAATTTGAGCGCGAGTTTTTTGTAAATAGGGAATTGCATTAGGGTGTTGCAATGCATCTGTTGCAAGATACTGGCTGATTTCATTGAGTGAATTTCTTCTGACATCAGTTACATTTTTATAGGAAACTGATAGAAAATTTCTTTCTTCCGTTGATAATTTTGGTTCTAGTTCAATAATTCGTTTCATTTGCTTAATCATATCATCATGACGACTTGTTGAATCTAGAATCTCAATTAAAACTTTGAGGTTTTCTCTCTCTGACATTTCCGAAAAAAAATGTTTTTAGGAATTCTTGTCAAGATGGTAATATGGAACCAACCAGTCTTCCATTATATCTCCTAGTGAATTAAGCGGACTTGCAATTTCAATAAGAGCAATAACTTCATGTCCAATAAAATTATTTGTTTTCTTGGTAATTAAGTGATCATATCTTATAAATATTCATTTTTATGTCTTTGCGCATAACCGAGAATACATAACTGTTACTGTTTTATGATAATGAAATCAAACCATTTCATTAAAAGAACATGTAATATATTTATACTCTAAAATATGATCAAATGCATATATTTGGCCATTGTATAAGCTTAAATGTTCAATTGATGTCATATTGGAAATAATATTTTTAAATTATGATTCAAACATATCAACAGAATGATAATAATACCTGCAAATCTATAAGCTATTCCAGATATATGAAAAAATAATGCGTATATATAAAACAATACAAACAAATTTATTTATCTTAGAGAGAAAATCTGCTGAACAGACATAGATTCATGCTTTGGAAACAGTTTCCAAATGTAAACCTTGTCATGAGGAGCAGCAGTCAATACATGCGTTGATTCTGGAGATGAACAAGAATATAAAACTCTGTTCTTATGAATTTTAATGGAATTCATCAATTTAAGCTGTGAACTCCACAAACATATTGAATTTTGTGAAAATCCATGAGTAGAAAGTATCGTATCGTATCTTTCGTTCCAAATTAAGTTACAGATCTGGCTTCCTGTCTGAACCGTCTTACTAGTAACACAAGTATTAATGTCCCATATCCGAATCGTCTTATCTGTCGTTCCTCCGCCAGATACAATCAGATCTGGATTAATACTTGAAAAAGACAAGGCTCTGACAGCAGCAGAATGCTCACAGTATGAGGAATACGGGTTAGATAACGCTCTAAAGTCCCAAATTTTTACAGTATTTTCGTTACTTCCTGTAGCAAAATGATTTCCATCGTTGCTAATAGCTATATTGCAAACTTCGGACTCATGAGCAGAGATTACATCTAAATTCGTAGGACATCGGCTGTCAAACCTTAAAATATTTCCATCTTGATCGCCGATAAGAGTTCCTTGTGATGTATTTCGAATTACGGATATAGTGGAATCATATATTTGCATGCAGCTTTCGGCTTGAAAAGTGTTTGAATTAATAACGTAAATGTTTCCACACCGAGTGCCAATTGTGACGCTGTTTCCGTCATTGCTGTACCCACATGATGAGGGAATTTCTATGTTTGTGAGAATATGTTTTGAATTTCTGTTATTTGAATTGAAAAAATAAACTGAATTATCCGATGTAACGCAGATCTGATCTTTCTTTGACCAATCAATAGGATGTATGTAGAAATCTGATGATACTGAAGGGACATTTAATGAAATAACGGGATGAACGTTTGGATTTGTTAAAAAAGTGTATTTTCCTTTGAATTTAGGACTTGAAATCTCTCTAATAGGCGATGACTTAATGAATACTTGGTCAGGACTGTTCTGATTTATTAAAGATTCGTATAAATCTGTATTATATTTTGGTGAAGTTTTCTTGAATTTTGGAGAAGGGTAATATTTTTGTGGAGATCTATCTTCTGGGAAAAGACGATCTTTCTTCTGGCTTGTACATTTAGTTGGAGAAAAACAAGTTTGAAAATCCATTTACAAAAAAAATTTTTATGATTTATTGAAAAGCAGATTGAATAGTTTACATGATTTTGTTCAAAATTTTTCGTTTTGTCTCTACGGAGGATTATTCCCATATCATACACGAGTCTGTGGTAGAATCTATCCAATGCTTTAGGATGAAAAATTTTTGTTTGTGAAAAATCTGACAAAAAGTGACAATTCAATGTTTTCAAATCGGATAAATATTACTTAGGATTCAGATCCTAAGAGAACCAATTTGATTACACAATTCCGATATCCAAGAATCATCTTATTCAAAAAGAAATCAACATAAATAGACTTGAATTTTGTATTCAGTTGGGAAGAGTTCTATGAAAACACTTTCAATCAACGTAACAGAACTGATTTTTCTGATCCTTATAAATATTATATTTCAGATATTACATCATCAAAAGGATCCAGATTCATTGACTTCTATCAAAGTTCAACAACTTCAATCAAAATTCTTCTTGAATCATCATTATTTCATTCGAATCATATCGGAAGTACCTCAACAAAAGATGGGTATAGCGGATATGGCGGAAATATTTACATAAGAGCCAAATTAGATTTTGTTCAAAACAAAATTTGTTCATATAATTGTTCTTCAAGTCAATATGGACAACATTGCTATATACTTTCCCAATATAGTACCATTAAATACAAAAATTACAATTATCTTTCTTCATATTCTGATTTAGGTCAATCACAAGGATATGGATATTCACCAATTCATCATGGTAATGGTGAAGTTATTATAAATAATGCAAACGTTTCTAATTGCAGAACTTATCAACATTGTGGAATTTTCATTGAATTGACAAATTTTCCAGGAAATATTTCACAAACATCATTCATAAACAATTCAGCAACATCTTATTATTGCATTTTATTTAGTGGATCTCAACCATATTCATATATAAAATCTAATTTTTTGAATAATAAAGTAACAAATCGATTATTTTATATATATTTTCATGATATATCTATAATCGATAGTATCATTAAGAACAACACAGCAACAAACACGTTTTATACAAATAATAAAGTCTATTATTTAATCCACAGTATTGTAGATATCAAAGGATCTACATCTAAATTAAACACAGAATTATCAAAAACAGACGAATTCGAACACATTTTTTCTACAACAATTTCATGTGAATGTTGTTTCTCATTCATCATTAACCAACGAACTAAGATCAAACACATTAAGATTCATATTACTATTTTTAAATGTCTTTCTAGTTCATTTTTTGAAGAAGGATTTTCTGAATATTTCACTAAATAAACTAAATCTAAAATTCAATCCCCGATAAGAAATATTTTTCCTAATCATCAAAAATTTAAGGATTTTCATTCCCAATATTTCAGGTTAAAATCAGAATTCCGTATAATGTAAGTTTTGTAAAATGCATGGTTTGAGTGGAAAATTGAGCACTTTCCTGTACATAAACACTCTGTCAAACACTGTAAAAGGCCATTTTTCCCTGTAAGAAAGTATTCATTTGGTTTATAATTTGCAAACTTTTTTTCTCAATAATCTTCCTCCCTGTTCTCAGAAATTTGAATTAATTTTTGTTTTGAGTATATTCTTTCACCAAAACAATCATTATTGAAAGTTTTGGAATTCAATATTGGAAAATAACATACTCTCAAAAATGATAATTAATATTTGCTGCCATTAAGGTGAGTTAATTCTTCCTGACAAAGACTTCACTATACAATTCATATGAACTTTTTCTGTTCTTTGTTATTAAAAATGCGGATGTCTCTTGGAAATTGAATTGAGTGTTACAAATTATCTTGAACTAATATAATTTGAAGCAGTATATAAGGCTACATTTTTGACAATTGGAGCGAATCATCATTGAAAACCAACCTTAAACATCTGAATTGAAGGCCGTGTCATAGGGGCGTAAAATTTATTTTCATTGAGTGCTAATCAGCTCATTATTTTGAAGGAATGTATAAGTGAGAAACAAATTAATAATTATTTCAATCAAATAATTATATAAATGATATACACACTATATCAACATGATATAGCTAAAATATCTAGGTCTGGGGTTCGTAAAATTCTGAGTTGGACAAGCTTTGTTAGATGTAATTGTCTGTTTATATAAAAAGTGTCAAAACGATGATTTCGAATCGGTAAAGCGGTTCTTTTGGTTGAATGGAATTTCAATATAATGCAACAAAAACAATTATTAAGTACTTCAGTCAAATTATACATAGAATTAACTGTAAAAGAAGAAATACAAATTAAAGAATATGAATTTCGCTCTAAGTTGGAACGAGTTTTATGACGGAACCAACGATAGCTACAGTAAAGATGACTTTTCCAATCCTCATTGCTATTACATTTCCGAAATTATTTCATTTGAAGGAGCCAGGTTCATTAATTTTGCCAATGATCCAGAAACAAGCATCAAAATTCTTATTGAATCATCAAAATTCTTTTCGAATAATCTTGGAGAAACTCCAAATTGTTACGATGATAGAGCAATTGGCGCAAATATTTATATTAATGCGAAATTGAATGTTGTCCAAAACAAAATTTGCTCATATAATTGCTCAATTAATAGTTATGGTCAACATTGCTTTATTTTCACTCGTTCACCCATTAAATTATATAAGAACTATAATTATCTTTCCTCTTATACAGATTTAGGCCAACAAGGAATGGGATATTCGCCATTACATCATGGCCAAGGCGAAGTTTTAATACCTAATACAAACATCTCAAATTGTAGAACGTTTGAACACAGTGGCCTTTACATTGAGAGTGTTTACTTCCCAGGGAACATTTCCCAAACTTCATTGATTAATAATTCCGCGTCAAATGATTTTTGTGTTGATTGCTATTGTTCAAAGCAATATTCATACATTAAAACGAATTTTTTGGAAAATAAAGTATCAAACCATTTAATTGTGATATCATGTGCTTCAACTTTATCCATAATTGATAGCATTATTAAAAATAATGATGTCCAAAACACATTTTCGATCACTAACAAAGCGATTAATATAATACATAGTCTAGTTGAACTGAAAGGAGATCCATATAATATAAATACCGTTTCTTCTTCAACAAATTTGTTTGAAAATGTTTTCACATTTACGTATGCATGCAAATGTTGTTCCTCATATATCATAAGTAAGCGAAGAAGAGTCAAATACATGGAATTCCTCCTTTCTATTTCAAAATGCATCTCTTTTTCAAATTTCGAATCATCGACTAAAATATTCACTGTGTAAACCATAGGAGTCTTTTTTTCCGCTCAAATTTTATTAATTTTTATCCTTGGAGTGCAGGACTTTGTTTTTTGGGGGCGGCGACAAATTTGCCCAGCCAGTAAAGTATTCAATTTTTTTGCATTTTTTTAAAGCTTCTTAAGGGTGCCCTATAACGATAATGTAAACATCACAAAATTAACCTTATTAGAACTCGAATGAATGGATTATCCAGATTCGAGTTCTCAATATAATAACCTTAAAAGTGCTTTTCTGAGGGTGGTCTATCGTCTATAGGGCACCCTTAACTTAAATCATGGAATGTCCCAAAGACAAAAGTAGCATACAGCATGTAAAGCTAAAGAAAGATAATCATAATTAATACCTTAATTTTTAATATTACGCATTTTTAGGTGCAAAATTTAAAAACATTCTAATACAATAGAGCAGTTTCCAAAAGTAGCATACAGCATGCAAAGCTAAAGAAAGATAATCATAATTAATACCTTTAAATTTTAAAATCTTGATTTTTTTTAAAATCAAATATTTATAACTTTAATACATACAGCTTAAACCTTATACTTGTTTTCTCTTGTGAGAAAGCAATCTTACAAAGCTAACAATCCTAAAAAATAAAGAATTAAAATTTAATAATTTAATCTAACAAAATTTCTCTCTTTATCCTTTTGCACTCTTTATATGCAACTCAAATCCATCATATAATATTCCTATAATACTCTTGCCTCAAACAATGACGAACAAACTGCTATTCTCATTTAATTACAGACCAAATCTATTCAAATTTCTGAATTTTTAAATTTCATTTCATTTTCAAATGGAATTAGAAGAAGAAACTATCTTTACTGTTAAGGATCTTTGTAAATTTGGAGTTAAACAAGAAATACAAGCACAGTATGGATATGGTGAACGTGTCAGGAAAGAAAGATCTCAGATTTCATTCCACTGCAAATATCCAAAATGTCCTGCACATTTTAATGTTGCAATCTTGGATCAAAATAAATACAAACTAATCAAAATAGTTGAAGAACATGATCATTCCGCCCCAAATGACAAAAGTCAATATTCGTCTGTCTTTTATCGCAAATATTTAGAACATTACTTCCAAACAGATGACAATCAAAGAGCGATAGCACAGCTAAATGCATTCAAAGATCTTGAAATTCCTCTTACAGGTCCGTCCATTTCAGAGATGTACGCTCAAAAACCACGTGCAATCAAACGATTTGCAGAGAGAATACATGCTCTTCAAACTAGATATTCTCCTGACGATGTTGTGTCATTGCAAATCTTTGTTCAGACAGTACAAGAAGAATCTCCAGATGATCTCATTGCATTTGAAGTCTCAGACAATAATATGTGTTTCTATTACGCGCCTTTTGAAGGCAAAGCTTATGCGCATAGTATCAAGACATTTCATATAGACAGCACCTATAAATTGTTGCGATCAAACATTCCATTGTATGCATTTACTGGCAAAATCAAAGATTTTCACATTTTCCCTTTTTTATATTTCTTTTGTCAACCAGACACTTATCAAAACATTCAAGTTTGCGTGTGCGCCTATCTCAGATGGGTAACAATTGAGCCAGAATACATTAGCATGGACTGTGCTCCACAGATAGCTCAAGCAATAGAAGAAAGCATTCCACAAGCTCAAATACTTTGGTGCGGAGTACATGTTCTTCGTGCAATTCTTCGCAAATCAAATAAGTTTTCTTCTCAAGAAAAATTTGAACAATTCTATAATTTGATGAAGGATTTAGTCTTCAAATTAGATGCAGAACATGAGGAAGAAGCAAATGCTGCCTATGATCAAGTTCTGGAGTTGCTCGACACAGATCCAACAGCATCTCAATACTTTAACAGACAATGGCGTTACAACATATCAAGATGGATTGCTCGTGACAGGCGTGAAGGCGACGCAACTAACAATATTGCCGAAGCTCATTTTAGAACACTCAAACATGACTATTTTCCTGATCGAAAAAATCTCAGAATTGATGATGTTATTATAGAAATTTATACAAAAGTGATACCATCTTTCGTTATCAAACTCAAAATTGCTCAAAATCCAGCAGATGACCGTGTCATTAGGATCATGGAAAAAGCAACTAACGCATAAATTGATGTAAAAAGACAAAGAAAAATCGAGAGTATTTCAATGCTCAATAGATTGCTCAATGCTGTTAGTGATGACTCAATAGATCCCACTAAAATATATCCTACCTTGAAAGTATTATTACAAAGAACTCATTTTATTTAATTTTGATTTTAATTTTAGATTAAATTATTAAATTTTAATTCTTTATTTTTTAGGATTGTTAGCTTTGTAAGATTGCTTTCTCACAAGAAAAATAAATAAGATAAATAGCAAGGGTATATGTGTACCAATGTATTGATGAGAAGAAAAAATACATTTATCGATCAAAAAATGCCGAAAATTTTTTCCTCAAGTTCAATTTTAAAAAGTTGATTTTTTCATGATTTTTTCAAACTCGGCCAATAATAAAAATTTGAAGCCCAAAGTTATATATGTAATGAGGGTGCCTTAATTAATTCTATATCTTAAATCAAAATTAAAATATTTTATTACAATGAAGCGAAATATAGGGTTTTATTATTTTGGAGGATAAGAGAATTGATAGACCTCTATGAATTTTTTGAGAACTTTCTAATCCTTGTAGTGCACCCTTAAGGATGCATATACTATTTTCTGACATCCTCTCAATTGTTTGACAAAAGAGATACAAAGTTTGCTTTTTTTTGCAGATCTGATATAACATGATGACTTGGTATAGTATGCTCATATAAAATAAATCGAAGGAGAAAAATTGATTTATTTCAATGGGAAATCTACTTCACATGTTCGAGAGTGTTAAAAAAATTGAAAAAAAGTCAGTAAGTTGTAAGTGATATACGCCCATATGACACAACATTCAATTTCAATGTATAAGTTAATTTTTCAATAACATGTCACGAAAGATGTTAGAATTTTTGAATGAAACTCAAATGTAAGGGCACTCTGAGAATCAAATGATTTTTTCGTTTCTCCAAATAAAATGAATTTTCATTTGATTTTAGGACTTGAAATTTCTCTAATAGGTGATGATTTAATGAAATGTTGTTTCGACTTGTTTTGATTTATATAGATAGATAGATAAATTAAAAAGCACATCAATTTGATAGACTAAAATGTGACAATCCGATTTATCATCGGATTGTAATAATCATTAACACTAGAATTAGATATGAATTTTGAGTTCAGCTGGGAAGAGTACTATGAAAACACTTTTGATCATCATAACAGAACTGATTTTACCAATCCTGATAAGTATTACATTTCAGATATTACATCATCACAAGGTTCCAGATTCATTGACTTCGTTCAAGGCGCAACAACTTCGATCAAAATTCTTCTTGAATCATCATTGTTTCATTCTAATAATATCGGAAGTGCCCCAACGATTGATGGAAAAATCGGATTAGGTGGAAATATTTATATGAGGGCCCAATTAGATATTGTTCAAAACAAAATTTGCTCATATAATTGTTCTTCAAGTGATTTTGGACAGCATTGTTATGTAGCAACATTATCAAGATATTTACTATACAAAAATTACAATTATCTTTCTTCATATACAAGTATGGGTGACCCAGCTGCAAAAGGATTTGCACCAATTTGTCATGGTAATGGTGAAGTTATCATAAATAATGCCAACATTTCGGATAACAGAGCTAACGCTTATTGTGGATCTTACATCGGAGATTCATATTTTCCAGGAAATATTTCGCAAACATCATTCATAAATAACTCAGCGACAATTAAAACTTGCGTTTCTTTTACGGGAGGAAATACATTTTCATTTATAAAATCTAATTTCTTGAATAATAAAGTATCAGATCGATTATTACAAGTAAGCTCTCCCAATATTTCTATAATTGACAGTATTATTATGAACAATATAGCAACAAACACATTTTATACAAATGGTAAGGTTGTGTATTTAATCCACAGTATTGTAATTATCCAAGGATAGTAGTATATGTGGACGGGTTTTGTGACTTTTTTTGTAAACGTAAGAATTCATACAATATCGAGCGATTTTGTATCATTTTTTTTAACATATGAAGTAAAAAATGTATGATTCTTACGGTTTTTATTCTTACGGTTTTTATTCTTACGTTTTTGAATAAATCAAGATTTAAAAAATTTTCAAAATTGTAAGACATTTACACTCAGCCCATACATAATGAAATAAAAAATAAAATTTTTTTAAAAAATAAACTTTAAAATAATTTATTTTATCTTTTATAAAAGAAGCTATATATAGATGATGTTAGATATTCCGTGATTAATTAAACATTGTTTAAATCCTGAATGGAATCAATGAAGTCATAAACGAGTAAAAGAAACTTTAAAAATTAATGTCTTACATTTTTGAATAATTTATTTTTTTAATTCGTAAGAAATGAACGGAACAAGATTCGTGACTGTGAATCAATTAATGGATAAACTTTCACCAATTCTCGCCCAGGTTAAACAAGTAGACGTTTATTTTGATGATTACATAGAAAGTTTATTTTATAAAGGTAAGTTTAATATTAAACCCATTGCTTTTGCATTTGATGGTAAATTAATCGAAAATTCAAAAATTTGGGAATTAATTCCGGATATTGAATTTATAACAAATATTAAGGATAAATGGTTTAAACAACAAAATCACCTCACTAAAGTTCTTTGTAGATTAATGATTAAAACTGAGGAAAAAGAATTTAACGGGTTTAAATATCATCCATGTAAAATTTTAGAACTTGGTAACGAAAAACTTCAGAAAAAATTAAACGAAAGACTATCAAAAGATAGAATCGAAAGAATAAATAAACTCGCTAAAGATAATGATGATGATGAAGATGAATTTGATGAGTTCAACATTGAACTTTAAGAAACTAATGATTATTTGAATTTATGAAATAAAAAAATAAACTTTAAAAAATTCATGTCTTACATTTTTGAATAATTTATTTTTATTTTGTATGAAATGAGCGTCAAAACTAACAGCGTTAAAAAATTGGGATTCACAAACAAGGAAATAAAGGATATATTAGAGGAGGCGGGTTATGAGGTTGATAAATATTATTTAAGAAATTGTCAAAAATTTGCGGAGTTTTTAAATGAGTTTGATTATGATGGAAAAATGAATAAAGATGATGTTATAAATTTCTTATATCCCTCTTCTAAAAAAGAAAAACCTAAAGAACCTGATGTTTTCCCTGAATATTATGAAGAACGGATTAAAGATGATGAATATGATGAAATTGAAAGACTGGAAAAAATAAGAGATGAAATAGATGAAAAAATTAAGGAATTAAGAGAAGTTGAAAATGAAGTAGAGGGTTTAACGAATATCCCAGCTTCGGAATCAGAAGTTCAGAAATCTCATGAAGAAAGATATAAAAATTATGTCTCAGAATCAACACAAAATTTATTAGATGGTGAAATAGATGAAACACTTTCAGAAGAAGGAACTAAATTTATTCGTAAACATAAGTTACAATTTATTGATAATGAAGATTACCCCTGTATATTACTTTCACCACCTTTAGATTCCAAAAAATTCAAAAAAGCTCTTAAAAATGTGACATATGCAACTAATACGATTAAGAAAGAAGATCATGATATTTACACAAATTATTATTTAAATAAATGCACAGGTGTTGATAAAGTTTTTGATTTATTAGATAAAATATCAAAAGAAACCATTGAAACCTATAAAATTTTGTGTGATTGTGGTTTCATTATTGAAGATACCAATAATGTTTCATATGAAAGAACAGCACCGAAGGAAGATGAAGTTGAAAGGTCTATACCATTCGTTATTAAGAACATAAAAGATATGAAAACTTATAAACATTATATTTATTCATTTATTTCAGAAAAAATGGAAGCAACCCATAAAACATCTTCTCATCATTTTATAGCTATTCATACATTCCTTTTCAAAGTTGTGAAATTAAATAAGACAGGAATTAGATTTAATGTATCAGGGTACACATTCTTGAGTAAATTAAAATGTATTCGTCACGTCGCAGATGATAAAAATTTATGTATTCTTAATTCATTTTATGGGCTTTAAAAAATAAACTTTATTTTTTTAATTTTTTATTCTTACATAAATGAACAAAAACGGAACAGCTAAAATGAATGATAATCAAATTAGAGCAGAAGGTAGAAGGTTATTTAAACGCTTCTATAACATTCCTGATGGTGTTAATCCTAAAACTCGTAGAAGCTATTTAAATGAAGCAATAGATGCATATGAAGGTTTGACATTTCATCAGAAAGTGAGAGATTAGCGAGAATGTTAAATGTTAATATTGATTTCTATTATTGTGATCCTCAACCAGAAGACGTGGACATAAATAAGGTAGACTTTCCATTAGTGGAATCAATAATGATAGATCCAGAATTTGAAACAGTAAATATTTTATTAACACAGAGTCCATGTGGAAAACTTCACGCTGACAGAATAACAGACGTTGAAGCACTCACCGGCTATAAAGTTTGTCCATATTGTAAAGAAGAAGTTTATTCTATCCGTGATGATCCAGAAAGGAAAAACCAAAGAAGATTTTTAAAGCATTGTGAGAAATGTAAAGAAAATAATGGAAGATTAATTCAAGACGTTCAATTGCAAAAGACCAGCAACCATATGCACCACATATTACAAAACAGAAGATATATCAGTGGTTATTAGCTCACAATTTGGAATATTATCAACCGACAAGATATTATATTACTTTTGACTTCGAAACATTAGAGACTAAAGAAGAATTACAACTTTCTGAGTGTGCAACTTTGAATGCTTACTTAAAACCATTCATGGTGTCATCAACGGTTAAATTAAATGATAAAACATATACGAAGAATTTTTGCTTAACTTCGAGTGATTCTTTTATTTCTGATTGGATTGAGTTTTTATTTTCAACCTGTTCATTAGTTGCTAAATCAAATATGAGTCAATACGATGAATTAATGAAGCCACAAACATTAAATGAAAAACAGAAGGAAGCATTTAAAGAACTTCTAGATGAGGAATTCAATAAAGTGAATATCATAGGTTTTAATTCGGGAAAGTTTGATTTAAATTTAATTCTTCGTGATTTAAACACTGCAAAATGGAAAATAAAATCAATGCTGGGTTCATCTTCACAATTTAAGCAAATCATTGTAAAGAAAACAAACGTTCCATATGAATTGAGATTTATTGACATCAGAAATTATATAGCGGGTGGGACATTAGACCAATTCACTCAAGATTTCGGAAACAATAAATCACGTGTTAAATCCTTTTTCCCTTATCAATTCATCACATGGGAAAATTACGAAGAAGAATTATATAAAGTGGAACCATTCACGAAAGATTCATTTTATTCAGCATTAACTCAAGAAACTATATCAGATAGTGATTATCAAATATATCTCAATGATGCTAAAAATTTTAAGAATAGATTAGAATATTTTATTTATTATTGCAATAAAGATGTTGAAATTATGATTGACCCAATCGATAAAATTATTGAAGAAACATTTGTTTATAAAATTGACACGCTTCATAATCTTTCTTTATCATCGAATGCTTCAATGATTCGTTACGCTTTAGCATATAAAGACTTTAATCCTAATGAAAAATATCCTGAGGAAGAGATAGAATCAAGTTTTGAATTAACGAAAAAGTATTGGAAATATAAAATTGAATCATATAAGAAACAGGATGAAAAAGCAGAAAGGGATAGTAAAAATAATGTTTCAATGGATGATTTTCAATACTATCACGATTTAATCCTTTCATCTAAATGCAAAATGTGTGGTAAAGCGTTTACATATGCTAATAAACCAACATTGGATAGAATCGATAATGAAAAACCACATACCAAAGAAAATTGTCAGTTAATGTGTTGTTATTGCAATGTCGTAAAATCAAATAAAGATGAAGATGTTCAACGTTTAAGAATCAATTTAAGAAATTATGCATTAAAAAATAATTTACCAATGACTTTAGATTCAGTTGAAGCTTATCACATTCTCCGTAATGGAATTACTGGTGGTCTATCAAATGTTCAACATAGAGTAAATCTTAAAGGAATCACGCACATTAATAAACTTGCATATAATCCAGAAACTAAAACTGTATCAAATGAGGACACCACCAACATCATGACTCATTTCGTTGGTGTTGATTTTAATTCATTATATCCTTCATCATTTTCATCTAATCCTCATGATTTCATTCAATATACTGACCATAAAATGTATTGCCGGGAAGATTGAATGGTGTTATCATTTGTGATACAGCAACAAAGAAAGCAAAAGCATTGGGAATAATTAGAAAGAAAAATACTTTATTCGTGGCTGAAGTAAAGGGTCACATTGATGAAAAATACATTAATGATTACATAAACTTTTTACCGATAATAAGAAACTTAGATATTATCACAGATGAAAAAACAATTGGCAGTTTTATGTATAATTACATGAAATCAAACAATCTACCAGTTGACCAGAAACAGAGAAAATTAACTCAATTAGCATCAACACACAACCAATATCAACCATTTTCTTCTTATTATCTTTGGTATCTAATAGACAGATTTCATTTTATCATCGATGATATTCAATCAATTTTAACATTTACGAAAAACACTTGTTTTAATGAATTTGCGAACGAATTTATGAACGAAAGACAAAAGGCTGAATTAGAAGGAAATAAAGGAAAAAGTTTATTTTGCAAAGATTTCACTTAATGGATCATATGGTTACGATGCAATGAATACACAAAATTACGCAAAGACTAAAATAATGAATGCACAGAAGGCACGCATTGCATGTATGTCAAATAAGTTTAAAAACATAAGAGAAATAGGAGAGGATACATATCAAGTGATGCTCAAAGATAGATTTTATAGATGTGAAACATGTTTACAAGAGGCATTCTTCACTTTAGATAATGCTAAATACTGGTATTTAGTTTTCATTTAT